TTGAATTTCAATTGTTAATCGGTATTAGGGATTACGGGATTGAGATCGGTATATACCAAAATACCGATCAATACTGGAATATAAGCTAGTGTGCATTTTATCCTCTCAACTAGACTCTCTCATTCACTACTACGCGACCCTCAACCACCAAAAGTGTCATTTAATTATACATAGATCATTACATCACTATTTCACATTAGTATTAGTCGTCTCTCAACCACAAATTCGTCAAATTAAAGATTACCAATTACAAGAACTTGAGATGTTAGCTCTAGGCAACTCAAGACTATTTGCTTACTCTCTTTGCCCTAAATTAAACAATAAAATTTAATTTATATATTTAATTATTAATTGCAAAGGTAACTAATTATGTACTCCATAATACCGATTGGGATACCGAGTTACCGATTGGGATACCAAAATTATATAGGGATTGGGATTGAGATACCAAAATTATTTAGGGATTAGGATTGAATTTAGAGTGTAATTCGGTATTCGGGATTTTGGTATTTGATATTGAGATACCGATACCGTACCGATTTTCACCCCTAGGATGAATGAAGGGGAAGGGGGCTGCTATGAGTAGGGGTGGAATCGGTACGATATCTGTATTCCAACACCAAATACCAAAATTCTGAATACCGAATAACACTCTAAAATCAATCTCAATCACAATCCCTAAATAATTTCGGTATCCCAATCCCTAAATATTTCGTTATCCCAATCGATACTTCGATATCCCAATCGGTATTATCAAATACGAAATTAAGTACATTTACAATTAATAATTAAATATATAGATTAGATTTGATTGTTTGATAGGACAAAGAGACTAAGTAAAGAGTCTTCAGTTTGGCTAGTGCTAAGATATGGATAAAGAGAATGGAAGAGAGCTGACATCTCAAGTTTTTTTCATTGTTAATCTTTAATTTGACAAATTGGAGGCCGTGAGAAGACTAATACTAGTGTTTGCTTTTTGGTGTTATAAAATTAACAAGAGATTGGTGATTGAGGGCCGTGTAGTAGTGAATGAGAGAGACTAGTTGAGAGGATAAAATACACACTATATTATATTTCGGTATTGTTCGGTATTTCGGTATATACCGATCCCAATCCCATAATTCTTAATACCGAATAACAATTGAAATTGAATCCCAATCTCAATTTCAAAAAATAATACGTGTATTCGGTAACACCAAATATAGACAAATTTGGTACGGTATTCGGTATATCCCAAATACCGGTATCAAACTTCCGGCCCTAACTATGAGTGTGTAATTACTATAATACTCTTAATGAATTATGTTAACATGGTGCTAATAGTAAGTGGTTACCACCCTATACAGACGCCTAACTAATCTAATACATTGTCCAACTTAGAGGTAGATTTGATACATACAGGCTATGATTGTCTTTTTCTTGTGTATGACTTTAGTATAACATATTATGGATGCGCTCGCTTATAAATAAAAAAACCTCTTTAGCTTATTTCGATAAATTTTAATGAAAAATACTGAAAATATGTTGAAGCAAATTAAACTTCATCGATATCCAAGCAACAACTTCTATTCATTTTCATGATTTTAGTTTCAATTTGTTTGTTTGAAATTTAATGTTATATAATCTTTCCTTTTTTGTAGTGCAAAAGAGTTGATTTGTTGTGTTGGATTGGATCTTTACTTAACATTATAGACGACCCAACGCAACCCAACTATAGACACATTGTAGGATTCTAATTATTTTTATAGATCTAAATTTTCTAGTATGTTTGAATTTAATATTTTCAAAACCAAAATGTATGTTGGAATTTGGTGGTGGATTTAGCGGGGTACTATTAGGATTTTAGAAAAAGAAGGATTTAGGTAAAACCTTGGATTTTATGAATGAAGGACTGTGGGATTTTGTTACTTTGGATTTGAGTTGGATTTTAAAAAGTGCATGTTTGCTTGTTGGATTTCATATTGGATTTGTGCCAATGGGATTTATAATTATGGGTTGAATTTACATTTGTGTCCTTAATGTTCAATATAGGAAATATTGAAAAGAGATGAGGATAGACCCGTCATTTACCATCATAGATTTTAACCTCTTACAAAATTCCAACTAAATAGGTAGAATTTTATAATTTGTGCACCCCACGGATTTTGACCTCAAAATAATCCCACATACTTGGGGCCCACACACCATAATCGAACACTACTTCAACGAGAAAAACTTCAGTGGGACGGGTGCACCAGCAAGGATTGGTGATGTGGTGCACCCAGCCAATCATGTCCTGCCACGTGTCATTTAATTATGAGGAATAAAAAATTAATAGTCCTTATTCTTTAGCTGTGTTGTGGCCAGGCCAGGCCGTCCCCGATTTTGCACGGTGCAAAAATTGGAGGACTAATAGTTGGATCGGAACGATGCGATGATCGATTACATCAAAGCAAAGTTCCTCTCTCACCGACGAGCTCGCTCCGTTATGGTGTGATGCTTATCAGAGGAGCCATAACTCCGGCCCTGATCAAGATCTGCTTGTGCGCATCAAAATTCGAGATTGAGCAAACCAATCTCGCCGCCTCGTACCGAATCGCGATATCTAGCAGGTCGGGATACAACGATGGTGATCCCGCTGAGGGAAAGAACTCCGGTGATGCAGACGCCGGAAAAATTCCCCAAATGGGGATCTAATCTAATTTATAATAAATTCTTGGGTTAATACCTTATTTTGGCCCGAACTATGATCATATAATCAAGTTTGGCACGTGATTTCAGAAATTAACATCATAGCCTCAACTATGCAGCATATAGACTAAATTAGCCCGACACATGCTTTGACCGTCAATTTGGACGGTCAACACAATTAACCGTTAGTCAACACGCCATGTCATTGCCTAGTCAGCCTAAAAATCATTAAAAATTTAAAATTCAAATTATTTTTCTAACTATTATTATTTATCATTTTGAAATTAACCAAAAATTAAAATTAAAAAAATATATAATAAATTTAATGTTTTATCTTTTGGGACATTTGAAAATGATAATTTTATAAATTAAAACAAATTATCAAATTAAATTTTATAAATGTAGAACATATAAAAAACATAAAAAAAAATTCTAATTCAAATTATTTTTTGAATTTTTATTATTTATCATTATCAAATTAAACAAAAAAATAAAATTTATAAAAACATAAATAATTTTATATTTTATTTTTTTTAATTTTGAAATGAAACATTTTATAAATTATCAAAATATTATATATTTTTTAAATTACCCAAAAATAAAATGTAAATTTTTTTTTTAATTTACCATTTTCAAATGTCCCAAAAGATAAAACATACTTTTTGATTAATTTCAAAATGATAAAAAATAATAATTAGAAAAATAATTTGAATTTCAAATTTTTAATGATTTTTAGGCTGACTAGGCAATGACATGGCGTGTTGACTAACGGTCAATGTTGTTGACCGTCCAAATTGACGTTCAAAGCATGTGTCGGGCCAATTTAGTCTATATGCTGCATAGTTGAGGCCAGGATGTTAATTTCTGAAACCACGTGCCAAATTGATTATATGGTTATAGTTCGGGCCAAAATAAGGTATTAACCCTAAATTCTTACTGGGCGGGTTCTGTTCAGTTGATACTATTCATTTTTGCCTCTACATGATTAATTACACAGTTAATTAATTTCATGGTTGAAGGAGGATTTGCAGAAAGCTTGATCTTTAATTTCATGGTTCTAGGTTTCAGGGGAAGAACTAGTGGGTGTATTAAAAGAATTTTTTAAAAAAGGAAATTTTTGCATCGGAAGAAGTTGGGGAAGGTAAGGCCGCAACGCAGGTAAAGAATAGGGACTTTATGTTTAACATTTTTTCTCCTCGTAATTAAATGACACGTGGCAGGACAGGATTTGCTGGGTGCACCACATCACCAATCATTGCGGGTGCACCTGTCCCACTGAAGTTTTTCTCCCACTTTAACACTAACGCTTTGTTTGGCAACAAGGGAGGGGGGGGGGGGGGGGTGCAATTTCGAAGGGGGTGCAAATTGAGGGGTTAATTGTAGAGGGGAGCAAATTTAAAGTGAGTGCGAATTGGGGTGAAAATTTTTGTTTGAGAGAAAAAGTAGGAGGGTGCAAAAGAGATATAATATATTGATTTTAATGTAAAATAAATGTAAAATAAATTAAATCCCACCCCATGTCCCCATCGATTACCATTTTTCGTTACCTTCTCACTTTCTTTGGCCCACCACCACTTCTCTTCCCCTGCCAGTCACACACTCCCAAAATACCTCGGTTTCTACATTTGCACCCAAGATATGCTCCCCCAGCCCTCCCAAACATATAGCTTAGTTTGGCCCTGCTGTAGCTTTTGCAGAAACAACTTGTGACGGGAGCTTTTAGATAATTACTTTTCAAAAAAAGCAGTTTAGTGTTTGGCTGTAAAACTATTAGAAGTGTTTTTTAATATGAGCGGTTGTGTAAAATGACTATAAAGGACCTATAATATAAAATATGAATAAAAATTTTAAACAATAAAAGTAGTAAAAATGGATCTTGTTAGATTTCTTTTATATTAAATAATATGATTTTGTAATTTATTTTATTTTTAAAATGATATAAATGAAGAAAATTCTATTTTTCTGAAATAAAATTAAAATATGGTAAGGATAATCTTATATTTTCAAAACAGCTTTTTGCAGAAGTTCCAAATCTGCAGAAGTTCCAAATCGGAGCTTCTGCTTTTATGTTATACAAAAGCGCTTTTCCGCTTTTCAGAAACCGAGTTTTTAGAGGTGTTTGGCCCTGCTTTAACTTTTGAAGTCGAAAAGCACTTCTAAAAGCCGGGCCAAACATATGCATAGTGTAAACATGACATTTGACCTTTGTGAATAATCCCATGGTGTGGGATTTTCATCCAAAATCCATGATGAAAATCGACCTCTTAATTCGATCCAAAAAAAAAAAAAAATCGACCTCTTAATTCCTTGCATTATCTGGGCCTATTATTCACAGTACAAAAGAAACACGAACAAGGTAATAAAAGCCCAACCGTTTTTCTCTACACTACAGCCTGAACACAGTTCTCGCGCCAAAAACCGAAACCCTAAATTCGGTCAATTAATCGGATCAAGTGTTCATGATTTTCTAATCCCCTCCAATCGAGTTTGGATCGCAGCGAGGTTAGTTAGCTGATTCCTGATTGCTCTGTAACGCTTCTGTGCCCGATACGGTGTCCCTCAATGGTTATGGAGTACAGGCCAATCCCAGTTTGTTAATTCCGTTCTTGCTCAATTTTGGTGTCCAGTCTCTTTCGTTTTCTTCTTTTAGGTAGCATCGACTTCATATGTGGCCCTGTTTTGTTTGTGCGATAGGTCGGATTGATCTGAACTTGCCTCTAGTTGAACGCTTTGAACAGAAGCAGCAGCTCCGATCTGGAAAAGGATGGAAAAAGGAGCCGTGAAGAAGATGGACATGCTACTGACAGGTTGGTTAAGCCGTCTTCCAGAACCCATTATTCATCACATTCTTTCGTTTCTAGAAACCAAATGGGCCGTTCGAACATCTGTGTTGTCCCGATTCTGGAGGTGCGCCTGGAAACATGTCCCTGTCCTCAAGTTATATGGTGATTCCTTCCAACAGTATTCCAGTTTCGAGAGATTTGTGGAGAACATTTTGTCCCTCCGTCATCCCTTGTGAATGATGAGTTAGAGTTGGAGGAGGAGGACGATGAGGAGGAGGATGACGATTCAGAAGAACGAATGTTTAATCAGTTTGTCAAGGTTATCAAGTATGCTTTATCCCATGGCATTCAACACTTGACCTTTTCTCTGTTCTATATTGTGGATGTCGAAGACACTTACGGATTCTCAGATTTGTTTGGCACGATCTCAAATTGCAACCTCAAAACCCTAGACCTATTTGGTGTCCACATCGATGGTGGATTTGGATCTTCTGGTTTTTCAATGCTGACAACTCTCGAATTGGGGCAGTGCCTACTAGCTTCTGATCATGATGGCGATTTCGATCCTTTCTCTAACTTTCCGTGTCTGAAGAAATTGGTCCTGGCTCATTGCAACCACCTGGACAGTGAGGTGCCTGGGCATGAAAGGCGTCTCAAGATATATGGACCCCAATTGCTTAGTCTGGAACTGGAGTTAGTTTCCTCGTTTCACATGGAAATAGTTGCACCCAGACTCAAATTCTTATGTCTTGAACATGACCTGGAAAATCTGAAATTCTCTAACTTAAGCTTTCCTTCCCTTGATCATGCTTATATTCATATCTATGATGACTTCCATTTCAGGGAGGGTAACAAGGAATGTGCGACAAAAGGTTCAATCTCTTTGCTCCAAGCTTTAAGTAATGTAACCTCAATAAAGCTGCATTCCCGCACCATCGAGGTATCGTTTTTGTTAATATTGTTGTTATTAAGTGTTTCTTCCTTGAATATTACCTGGTGTTAAAAATTGGTTTGCATTTCTGTAGGTACTGAGTAATATTTCAGAGTTTCTGGAACAACAACCCTCTCCCTTTACGAGATTGAATTACTTAGGCGTGCGGGGAGACACTGTACCTTACCAACTGCTCAATTACTTTCTGAAAGCGTCATCTAGTACAAAACCAACTCTTGAGTTTGCATAGCGTTATGGCTAACCATTTTGCTTCAGTTGCTGATCACGGTTGGTAATAGTTTAGTATTTCCTTTATTGCATGGTCATATAGGAATAGTTCTTGAAGAACTATGTCATTCTTCTTTTGCTTGGCAACATTCGGCAACTTCAGATATCTTGAGTTTCAGCCACATCAGCGTAATTTGAATTTATGATTGCAGTACTTCAGCTTAGTTCTTTGTTCATATGTTACCTTCTTAATCAGGAGCCTTCATCTTGGAAAGGTTTGGTCTTTCCTCCGTTATGTACTCTGGGTGTTTGCCCTAATGGGTTGCCGTCCAAGTTAACTTGTTCTTTGGTGGACTAGCCGAGGCTTTTTAGCTGTATTGTTGCTACTTACATGCTAGATAAGAAGTATTTAATTCGAATCCGTAGCATGGTTTTGCTGCTGAAGTCTGAATTTTGATACATAACTGTTGAATGATGTTATATTATTTAGTACATCGTGCAGCAGTGGTAAGTCTACTAATCGTTAAGTATTAATGATTTTTCGCTCCCTGCTATTTCTGGTGCTTATTTATGCTTTCTCTAGATGACATCCTCCATCCTACAAATTTCCTACAAATTATATATGGAGATTCTCCTTAAACGCACACCCAATCCAATTTTTCCTTGCCTATGCTCATAGAACGGAAGGACTATTTAGTCCTTTTGTTTACTCATCTATTCCGCTACTGTCTCATGGGGCTAAAAGCCTAATCAAATTGAGATACAAATAAAAAAACTTATTAAAACTCATGCTCCAATTGTTGATATATAATATTAAAATAAAAATTCAACCTACAACTCTCGCGGCATCATTGTTACAAAATTCAAGCTCCACTAATCAACTTCAACAATTTCGACTAATTCAAGGTTGTCAACTCGGTTTAGCCTATTGGTCCGGTCGAGCAAGTGGATTGAGGGTTAATTGTTCGACCGTTTTAGTTCGGTTTAGCTTGAATATATGAAAATACATTATATTGTTATACATTTATAAATTATATTAAATCTCATATAACATATGAGTAATAACATGTAACATTACACAAAAATAACATTTTGTACTTGCATCCAACATATAATGAAAATTCACAAACACATATATAACATCAATATTAGAATGTTCAATTTAGAATTTCAAAGATTGGGTTAGGAGAAAAGAAAAATCGGAAAATAGGAGCATTTTATAAATTAAAGGAAAAAAGATATAGTCTGACCTCCAGCTCGGTACCTTGCAGCGGTCGACCCGATGTGTGTGTGTGACCCATTTTTCTCACCAGGTCCAAATCAAAATGGGTCAACCGGTGGTTCGACCCACGGGACGACAACCTTGGACTTATCACATCATCATCAGTCCATCCGGCATTAGAAATTGTCGATGATTATATGCATATCTATATATGTTCGTCCGTATTAGGTCAGATAATTTATTATGTGATACAAATCTAAAACTTTATTCAAGAATATGATAAGTGTATTTAAATTATTTAAGGTATTGAGATTCACGGCTATTTAAAATTTTATTATTGCTAAAATATGAGGCCATAAAAGTTAAATCCTAATTAGTTTAAGTAAAATTACATACCATTCAGATCGAGGAAAGTACCATGGATATTATTCACTCCAAAACATGTCAAATAGACCAAATAAAATGTGTTAGGTCAAAGTTGTCATCCCTAATAATATCATTGTAAAAATACTCAGCCTCACAATTCCTTTCTTAATTATGAATGTGTTTTCAATATTAAGTTCCTAGAATTGAAGCCTTCTAATTGTAATAAGTTTCCATCGATGTTACATCTATGGAATAAAAATTCAAGTTTTAGTTGTGATAAATTGCCCCTAATAAATTGTGTTTCTATAAAGATAATCCACTATAAAATATAGTCACAATAACACATGCTTAGGGATGGATGGTTAATTGAATTGTCATGAATTTCTTGCTATGTGATTTTTACTTATCCTCCAACGTGGTTCTGCCTATTGAGGCAAATAGTTCCATAGTATTATGCCAAAAAATGACAACATCATTATGTCTAAGATGTACATCTCAATTATTTAGTCATTAAGTATGTTTTTATTTCAATTATTGTTAAGATTGTATCTATATCATATTGTTTTTAGTAATTATTTTTGCAGTTCTACATCTCAAATAAATATTGTCCTAGAAAAACAACTTGAATTTGCAAATACTTATCAGTATGTGTACCTTAAATGCAACGATCCATTTATTCACGTTCACGGAAGCTTATAATGGCCGAAATCCCTCCACAAACATATATACTCGGCTGCACCCCAAGCCCTAACCCACGTCAGAAAAGAAAAATATGTACATGGATACTTAAACCTTTAACTTCTAACACAAGCCAGTGATAGAATGAGGGGACATCCCCATCCTTATCTCCTACAAATGGAGACAATGGAGTTGGAGTTTCATATCAAGATCACCGGTTACAACATTGCAGACTCTATAAGTGAGTTCGATAGATAAGGAAAAGTAAATTTTTACTTGCGCATAAATTATATTTCATCATTAAAAATTTTATCTCAATAAAATGCAAGAGAAGAAGAAAAAGCATGCCTATGGTGAAGGTTGTGGGTATGATGAGAGCGAGGATTTTGGAACCTGAGATTGATTAATAGAAAGATACAAGTATAGAAGAATTGGCCAAAACTAAGGAGAGAAATAGACAACGAGAAAAAGAATAATTCATGCTAGATGAATATTAAGCGAATTGAGAGCGATAGGAATAAAATTTATACAAATCCAAGGATATGTAATAAAGAATTAAGTTTTGGGGACAATAAGGCTTGGATGGCTAAAAATATAAAAGTGGTTGAGAAAATTTCAATGATAATCATAATAATAACTAATAATTCATCAATACATCCCCTCTAAAAGATTATTTTCCTCGAGATTTGGTATAAACTAATTCATATACTTCCTTTTCAAGGTTCGACCGCTCTTTCACTTCCAATTTAATCCAACTCCTGCAATGAATTCATTACGACAAAATAAATGTCTCACTACACAATCTGAATGAAAAATTCTCAATTGACAATGCCAACATCGAAAAGGTAGTTGTACCATCCTTCTTGGTCATAATTGTTGTTTCTTTGACACCGAGATATATGCCAAACCTTCCATGTAAATTCCTCAAATTCTTTGAAGACAATTAATATGAGTTGAAACGACATAAGCGACAGTGTTGGGTCATAGGATAACTAGACTATGATACAATTTGATAAATAGAGGATCTTGGTATCCATGACCGATTAACATAAAGATATAATTAGAGGATAATTGGACAAAAATAAGGAAAATAAATAGACTATGAGATAATAAATAATTAGAGGAGATCAAACTATAGAATTTAGAGAGCCCATAAGAGACTTGATAAATCCAAGAAGATGTAGAACAAGTATGGAGAGAACAAAATTAAGAGCATTAGAGAGGAAGAACATAGAGAGGAAGAACATTGATAAGGTAAATCTTTTGTTCTTCTTTAGTAATTTAACTGAATGAATAAAGTACACTTTTGTTAGTGGATATAAGGATGTTGATGGGGAAGCAATCTCAAATAAGTTCCAAAAAAATTGCATTCATTTTGATATCGAGGTAAATCTAAATGCAGTTTGATAAAGTTTTTATATGTCACTTCCCTTACACATGGTTTTTTTTTACTTTTGATAAAAATTTTGGATGATAATCCGTTAGGATGTCATTAAAAAAAGTTATGATAGATGTATATTTCTTTTTGATTTTTTTGGTGATTAAATAATTTAAATGATTTTATAAACCCTACAAAAATGTGTCATGTCTCCTATAATTATAACTTTGTTTAAGTTATTGACCAAATGAATCCGATCATCGGGTCGTGCCCTACTCTAGTTGGCAATTCGGCATGGTCAGCAGATAGAGGTTGCCGAGTAAACCTCTCTACAACGCTGAATCAGCCTTGCACTCCAATTGTCGGAACAAACTATTCCGACTCACTCTACTGTTTCGGTGCATGTTACCTGTGTTGTTTCCAAAGTATGAATTGCCTTGTCCATCTCCACAATCAGTAATCTTTTTAGCTATGCCATACTTCACCATCTTATGCACGAGTAACTCATGTCATCCCTATCCACTATTACTAGTGACAGGGTAAGCCATCTTCCAAACTTCATTATTCGTAACACCCTTTCATTTTTCGACACCAAATACACTGTTCAGATTCAGACCTCGGTATTGTCTCGAGGGTGGTGATGCGCTTGGAAACATGTCCCTGTCATTGTTTTTCATAATAATCCCTTCGGACGGTAATCGAGTTTCCAAAGGTTTGTTGATATTTTATTGTCCCTCCACCATCCCTGTAATGTGCGCAACATTATCTACACTGGTTTATCCTCCGGACGAGGAGAACGTGGAAGAAGAAAATAGCCTGTTTGTCAACCTCATGAAATATGTCATAACCGATGATACTCAACTTTTATTATTTGCGTTGTTCTTTATCATCTCTACCAAAGACAATTACAGATTCTCTGATTCATTTAGCACGATCTCAAATTGCCGACTAAAAACTCTAGAAACATATGGTGTTGGCATTGATAGTGGATTTGAATCTTATGGGTTTCCAGAGCTTTTGTTCGGGATGGGAGTTTGATCATTGACGTATTTGGAGAACTAGGTCCTTGAGTCATTGCCACCATTTGAACTATCCCAGGCGTGAAAGTTGCCTGAAGATATCTGGACTTCGAATGCTTAGCCTAAAAACTGGAATTCAGTTTGGTCTACAGACTTGGAAATTTGTGCACCAAGACCAAATTTTTTAGTTTTCATCATGACGTGGGTGAACTAAAAATTCTCCAAGTTAAGCTTTCCTATCCTTGATCATGTTGTTACTCAGACTGATGATGAGATCAATTTGATGGAGGTTTAAGCAATACAGATGCAACACTCTCATGCTTACTCTATACTGTGAAGTTTTCCTTCCATGACCATTGCGGTAAATAATTAAACAAAATGTATGTAGTCATGGTGGATTGAACCCGTGTGTTATAAAACACAAGTTAAAATTGTCTACCATTAGATCACATGACTATAACATAATAAAATTTACGGAACAAATTCTACTAATAAAATTCGTACTAAATACCCTTACGATCCTTAGGGTTGGGAAACGGTGCGGTCTGGTCCAGACCAGACCATATATACGGTGGTCCAGACCGAGAGGCTGAAGTATATAGACCACAGACCAGACCACATACTATACGGTCCGGTCCAGACCACGCCTGTACGGTCTGGTTCGGTCTGGTCCAGATAGACCACACTCAAAGAAAAATGAATAATTTGTTTAGTCAACCACACAAAAAATTGAATCAATAACCAAGAAAAATAATTGTTATTTGCCTTAAAACATTAATCCTAACATGCATGAATAATTTTGATACCCTAAATCTTAGTGCATAACAAAAATACAAAGTAAAAGCATTCCAACTTGCACTATAACGTTATAAAAATTAACATAATATCATGTGGAGACACGGTTATCTCTACTCTATGGTTACATGTGGTTGTGAATGAAGGAGGGACGAGATTCTCAAAATTAAGGTTGAGACTTGGGTATCGTTGTGGGAGTTGGGAGAGTGATCGAATGGGCTATTAACACGTATTGACAAGTCAGTTGGGTCCACGGTTTGGTCCGGTAAACCATGGTCTAGACCAGACCAGACCAAGAGATCAAAACATAAAATAATACAGACCATGGACCAGACCAGACCATACTTAACGGTCTACAGTTCAGACCAAACTGTGCGGTATGGTTTGGACAACGATTTTTCTAACAGTCTGATCTATTTTCCCAGCTCTAACGATCCTAGGGGCAGGGACCAATCTCGGGGCCGGGACCCACCCTAGAAGTGTAGCTCCGCCCCTGTTGGTTTCTATTATCTGCAGAGCAACGACCCTCTCCATTTACCACATTGAAGACCTTGACTGTGGAGGCTGATAGTGTGCCTTACTGCTTAATTATTTTTTTTAAGGATCTTCTAGTACAAAATCGATTCTTGAGGTTGTATAACGCGTTGGTTCACCGTTTTGCCATAGTTTTCGACCTTTTGGTGGGTTCTTCCTTTTGAAGACGTTCAGGATTAAGGTCTGCAATTTGTCTATGTATTTCGTAAAATCTAGCTGCTTAGATCAACTCAACATGCACTGGATTATCATCTCCTTAAGAGCAGTATCATTCTTTCGCTTGAACACATTCTTGCACTTTGGTCTTCGGATATGATGAGTTGCAGTCATGTTATTTATATTAATTATTAAATTATTATTTAATGATAATATATTATTTAATGATGATTTATTAATATATTTTTTTGTACGTTTAATATTATTATTATTTAAGTTACGACAATATCAATAAAATTAAGGATTTTGCTACGGTGACATGCATGTCACCGTGACATGGACTTTTCGGTCGACCTATTGCTGAAGGCGGTCGACCGAATCGACTAATTCATGTTTGTGGGATTCCAAGACGCGGTCGACCTCTTACATAATATGGTCGACCGCTTTGGTGGTCTAACAGAATGAAAGGTCGACCCAAATATCTCATAGGCCGACCCTTGTGCACCTAACAGGTCGACCGCATTAGGAAGAGGTCGACCGCCTTCACACCGTATCCGTATTGGATATGGATTCCAACACCAGAAAGGTTCCACAACTGAACAAGGAAACGAATTGGGTCGACCCATTGACGTCCCAAATCTCTATAAATACGAATATTAGTCCCCTTCAACGCCTCCAAGTCTGAATTAGGTTTTTTTTTTCCGATTAAGAGCCTTTGTGAAGAAGCTCGTTCGCGGTTGCTGTTGTACGCGTTGGAAGTGGTCGACCAGGTCTAAGGTGAGGTCGACCTAATGTACCATTCGTCGTCTTCTTTTCTAATGCGTGATTTCTACCGGCTAATTTGATATATTGTTGGGTGCAGAATTCCATTCGGTCGACCGTGACGTCAATCAGGTCGACCTGACGAGACAATTCTGCGTATTTGAATTTAGGCCACAACACTTGGATTTCTGTACTTGCGAGGTAACCCAATTGGTCGACCTAATGGGTTTCAAGGTCGACCGTTCCTGTTTTTTTGGTTATTCAACCTGAATGTCAACTTTGGCTTTGATTGTATGACTATGTTGTGCTTGAAAAGGTCGACCGCGCCAAATATCTGGTCGACCTATCCTTTTTTCGGTTTGATTTAGAACTTACTTTTTATTGTTAATTGTTATTTTCCTGCTGGATAGGTCGACCTAGGAATAACAGAGGTCGACCTTAATGGTTGTGGTAGTCACTATTTGTCTTCCAGGTCGACCTAATACTATGTCAGGTCGACCACGTATTTGTTTTTTGGTCAATTGTAGAAATTTGAAGTTGAATTATGATTTAAATTTTTCTTGAAATTGTTTAGACAATGATGCATGATGAGAAACTGCATCAAGATTTGGGTGAAATCATGAAATTGTTGAAAGCCACACAAGAGAAGCTGGTGGTGTGTCAAACACAAGTCAATGACTTTCAGAAGTCCATGTGTGATAGAGTGGAGCAATTGTCAGTTCGACTGACAGATATGACTGGGATGATGCATGACGGGTTTGAGAGGCTAGAAGGTGCTATCAAAGATATAAGTGCAGAACGAATGGAGAATGGCGGAAGAAATGGTAAAGGACCTAATTTTGACTTTGGTAAAGAGGAAGAATACCATGATGACTCTGAAAATTGCTACCAGAGCATAGACGATTTATTGAAAGAGCACATTTTAAAGGTATCCAAGTATATTCATAGGTGATTGAATATATTAGTATTACTATCATTAGTGCTAATTTGTTTTGCTTATATGTTTGACAGAGTGAAACAACGAATGGCAGCAAGGGTTCCTCTCCTAAGTACAAGAGACCTCAATATGAAAGTGACTCCTACACCACTCCACAGAAGGATCAATTTGTAAGAAAAGGATGATTTAGTGATGATAGCGATGAAGAAGAATCTAAGAGTCCTTTCGAAAAGCACGGGGTAAGTTTACGTTACATATTCATCTATAATGTGTGTTTGTGTTCATATGTTACTTTAATTTTAACTATGATTTGTAGGTCATGAAAGTGGAGGGTCTAGAAGGATTCACCAAAAATCTTCAAAATCCAGTTGAAGACTTGTATTATGTTGTTACTAAAGAGAAGGCTGAGGACAAGAATTGGGACAAGTAAGACGTTTTTTAGTACGTGTGGTCGACCGGATCGGTTATGAGGTCGACCGCTTTTCCAATAAGGTCGACCGTGTGTGTGAACAGGTCGACCTGTACGTTGCAAATCACAATTGACATTTTTGTTATTTTGATTTTTGCAGTTTGACCGTTGTGGACTTTTTTTCTGAAAACGTGCAACGACATTATTTGAGTTCGGTCATTAGCGAGAATAGCTGGGTTTGCTCATCAGTAAGTACTATACTACTACGACTTTCGTATGAATTGTGCACTATTTATGTTACGATTTACGATGATTTTGTGTTTGATTGTTGGATGGTAGGTAGTGGATTTGTGTGCAAGGGCACTAACAATGTCTGAAAAACATGATGTGAAAGAGCCAAATGTGTGGTATTTGCCAAATATGTTTTCGGTAAGAGCCGTAATGTCAAATTATTTGTCATAACCTATTTATTTATATTGTACCATGTCAATTCATCTCAACTAAAACATGCTGCAGAAAATGGTACACGCTAACATGAAGACCAGACAAATTCGTAACAAGTTGATGAATGATGGCGTGGTCTTTATGCCGAATGTCGGTGCATGCCAGAAGGTTAGTCTAGTCAATGTCATTATATCATTAAATTTTGAAAGTGCATTTGTTTGTATTCGCTGTTTATAACATATAGTGAGTGTTTCGTTGCTAGATATTTATGCCAGTTCTTGACGATGAAGCACGTCATTGGTTTCTGTATCTCGTCAATGTCCAGCAAAAAACTGCATTTTTGCTTGACAGTCTACCTTCAACTAGTGAGGTGAATCGTAGGCGTAAATCAGCACTATGCAAGAAATTGGTAAGTGTTTTCTATAATTTTCTGACTGTTAAGCGTCACGTATGATGCTAGAAACTTAAAATATTCATTATTTGTGTGTAGTTGTCCAATTTGGATGATATTTTCAAACCGGAGCGCATGAGCAATGTAGGAGTACCAAATTTTGGAGATTTCAATTTTGATGAGCTACGAGTTCAACGGCAAAGGAATAGTACTGAGTGTGGTGTGCACGTCATGCAGTGGATGCGCTATGGATCCAAGGATCTTGATAGAGTGGTGAGTATATCGTCAAACAAATAACTTGTTTAATTTACACTTTTTTTAGTTGTAACGAAATCTTACATGGCATAATGCAGATAGGAGAAGAACACAAATTACCGGCGCGAAAGGAGATTCTATGGTATCTGGCTACACATTTTGAAAACCTTGCACGAGAAAATCTTTTCAAGCATGTAGTAGATGAATGCATGGAACGAGGCAAAGAGAGACAGAGTTCAAACAAAAAAGCAAAGAAATGGAGTCGTTAAGTTACAATGTTGCATTATTTGGACCATACATTGAATTTGTATTTGCGAGATCGTTTCATATTGGATTTTGAATGTTTATCGTTTATTAGATTTGTTATACAATTATGGATGTGACTGAATTTACGATTTCAATCGTCTAGAACAAGTGGTCGACCACATACTCAAAGCGGGCATACCCAAAGGCAGAGCACAGGTCGACCTCGTGACGAAAAAGGTCGACCTATGATACCGTAGCAAAGTCAAAAACCATGTAGAACATGGATGGAATCTCGTCAGTTTGGCCTTAATAAAATACGGTCGACCATTCTTGTTAAGAGGTCGACCTGTTTCACATTTATAAACAATGGTCGACCATTTCAGTAAAGAGGTCGACCTGTTTCACATTTATAAACAATGGTCGACCATTTCAGTAAAGAGGTCGACCTGTTTCACATTTACCCAAAACGGTCGACCATTTGTGCAAAGAGGTCGACCTTAATGAATCATGTCCTTGTACAATTAGGATTTTGTGTACTTGTCCTTGTCGAATTATGATTTTATATATCTTTCACCAATTGGATAAGGAATTTGTCTACATTATCTATAAATAGATGGGAGTCTGAAGACTTTAATCGTACTTCGATTTATGCAATTTGTTGGAGTGAAGTTGTAATATCATCGCTCTTATTGTGATCGGGTGTTGGTGGCGGTTTATTTTTATTCCGGTAGACCGTAACAATAAGTGGTCGACCTCTTTGCTAAGGTATGTCTCGTATGTGCTTGTTAATGCTTGTATGTGGTTAAATTTTTCCTACCATCCGGTCGACCACCCTCACCATCCGGTCGACCGCGCTTTTGTAATTATATGATTAGGTCGACCTTTCAGTAAATTCTGGTCGACCGCATGTTTGTTATTTAGTAATAAGGTCGACCGTACAGTTTATTCAGGTCGACCTAACGAGCGGTAATTGTGTATGTTTTTGACATTAAGTTCGTATTCCGATCGTTTCAGGATGGATAACAGAGATGATACAGATGATAGAGATGATGATGAGGTTAACTTCGATGAGGAACCTAAGGATGCTCAAGAAGGAGCTATGGATAATTCAGATGATACAGATAATACAGATGATGAAGTGGTTGGGGATGATAATGAAACCGAGGGTGCTGAAGAAGAATTTATGGATGATGAAGAAGCTACTGAATATGAACAACAAATTCCTTCCATGGAGTTCCAAACATTAGAAGATGCAGAGAAATTTTACGATTCCTATGCTAAAGCGAAAGGATTTAGCGTTCGATGTAGAGATCTTCGGAGGAATCGTCGAGGAGTAGCAATTGGGAGGACAATGGTATGTTCGAGAGAGGGGACTAGAGATAAGATGCATATAGATAAAGAAGGTCCGACTCGACAACATCGTAAGATGACAAGACATTATTGCAAGGCATCGTATACTGTACGCTTTGATCGGAATAAGAAAATGTGGGTTGTTTCTAAGTTTGAGAGGAAGCACTCACATCGTTGCTGCAATGAAGAAGAAAGTCAATTCCTTCGGTCTCATCGAAATGTGAGTGAAGGAGACAAGGCTCTGGCGATAGGGATGCGACAGTCAGGAATAAAACAACGCAACATTGTTCAGTTCATGAAGAATAAAGTTGGAGGATATGAGAATCTGGGGTACACTCCAAAGGATTTGGACAATGCTGTTCAGCAATCCCGAACAGTTGACGACGATCTAATAGGAGATGTTAACCGAACATTGGGTTACTTGCAAAGTAAACATACCTCTGATGCAGACAGCTTCTTCAAGTACACAACCAACGATGAAGGTGAATTAGGCAATCTCTTCTTGTCGGACTCCACATCTAGAGCAGATTACCATTTTTTTGGGGATGTCTTGGCGTTCGATGCATGCTACAAGCGCAACAGGTACAATCGACCATTTGTTATGATGGTTGGTGTAAATCACCACCACCGTAACATCATATATGGTTTTGCCCAGTTGGATAACGAGACAATCCCCAACTATGTTTGGTTGTTGAATACTTTTCTGGAGTGTATGAACTCTAAGATGCCCACTTCAGTGATCACAGACGGAGACAAGTCTATGCGTGGTGCCATTGCTACTGTTCTGGTTGGAGTGCCTCACCGTCTTTGTATTTGGCATATTGAGACAAATGCGACAACGGCTGTTCATAATAAGGAGTTTGTTAGCGCATTCACTTACTTGGCGAAAGCACGAATATCGATTGAGGAGTTTGAGAGGCGTTGGGAGCATTTGATTAGTCAGCATGGTTTGTCTGCAAATAAGTGGTTGCAGGATTTGTACGCTGACAAATTACTGTGGGCAGAGGCATACTTGAAGGATATGTATTTCGGTGGACTCCAATCAACCTCGCGATGTGAGTCATGTAACCATTGGATAAATGGGTATGTGGGAACTCAATACAGCTTGCAACGTTTTGTTCAGGGCATTGATGAAGCACTGGAGGGGATGCGTTTCACGGAGGTGCAGGATGATTATACTTCTAGGCACACGAGGTTGGTCTGCAAGCATGCCCTTCGCACTTGGGAAATGCTAGCTGAAAGTATCTACACTCATCGTACATTTGCTATCTTCAAGTCTGAACTAGAGAATGAGGCTTCTTATGTATTAGCGGAGAGAAGAACTGAATCAGATGGGACAGAGACATTCATACTGAAGAACTACATGAACCCAGATCGGATAAGGCGGTTAACATTTACTACGTCCAATCAAGATCTAAAATGCGAGTGTGCATTATTTGAATCTAAGGGGTTTCCATGCAGACACATGCTTACAGTAATAAAAAATATGGGGTACACCGCACTACCCTCGTCGTGGTTCAAGCTACGATGGACCCAAAATGCGAAGACACTAAATCGTCATCCTGAGTTGGAGGTGATGTGGGAGAGAAAGTTGGTCGACTGATAAGACATGGAGGATTGGCTCTAAAGTGTAAGCGTTTATGTGACATCGCGTGTGGTAGTGAATCTACTTTTAATCATGTCTCTAAGACGTTGGACGACCTTACTCAATGGGCAATTGAGTTCGCGAGGGAGAGAACGGACAACACCACACCGGCAAACCCTCCAGCACCCCTTCGAAGTGTGAAAGATCCAAAAATTGGGAAGACCAAGGGGACATTCAAGTCAGCACGAACTGCATCGGGTAAAAGTTTAAGAAAGTGTTCGAAATGTGGGAAATATGGTCATTTTCGCCCTAAGTGCCCGAAACAAAGTCCCAAAAAAGGATCTTAAATTTCTTCTATTGTTGTTTAGGAGTTTATTTATATTTTAATAACTGTGATTGCATTGTAATTTCTTCGAATTATCTTAATAATTTATGAGTTAATTGATTTTTGGTTGATTGGACGAAGATCGGGCGCGAGGCAAGTCAAAAAGAAAGCCACACGGGCACACACACAACCCACACGGCCGTGTGATGTTGCAATTTGGCCGTGTGGAATTATGCGAGGCCTCACACGGCCAGGCTGGGTGAGCTACACGGCCAGGCTGGCGGCAAATAGCAATAAAACGGTCGACCTCATACAAATAACGGTCGACCTGAACATACACGGTCGACCGAACATGTTAGTGAGGTCGACCGCGTATTTAATTCGGCCGACCAAACCAGTTTGTTTGCAACATCCACCCAAACCTCCCCCAATCCTCTATTTAAGAAACCCTCCCCCACTCATTCTACACCACAATCAGAACCCTATCCCACCACATCCACTCATTCTTCCTCTCCTTTCCCTTCTTCATCTTCTTCTCCATTTTCTAAAAACTCCATTTTCCAAAAACTCAAAGAAAGCTTCATCCTCATCACTTAGAAGAAGAACAAGGTATAGCTTTCACTCCTCTCTTTCATTTGAGTCGATTCTTGTCTTCTTCTTTCTGTTTTCAAAAAATCTAAAGATGTAAAAGAGGGATTTTTCCTTCTGTTCGTCAGAAGCGGTCGACCTGTTCATCATCGTGGTCGACCGCGTTTGGCCTTAAATCGATTTTTATTTCTGTTTTATGGACTGAGGTCGACCTATGATGATATTGAGGTCGACCTGTGAAGTTCGAGTTGAGATTTCTGGCCTTATTATTTAGATCTGTAGCTTGAAAATATGGACTTTGTCCTTCTGTTCGCCAGATGCGGTCGACCTTTTCATAATCATGGTCCACCACATCTGGCCTTAAATCGATTTTTATTTCTGTTTTATGGACTGAGGTCGACCTATGATGATATTGAGGTCGACCTGTGAAGTTCGAGTTGAGATTTCTGCACTTATTATTCAAGCGATCTTATTTCTGTTTTTTTTGTGCGAAACTAACACAGGTCGACCGCTTCTATTTATGCGGTCGACCGAATCTGTTTTGCACTCAATTGATACGAGCATTTGGGCCATTTTAGACTCGTTTCAATTAAGCCGAGGTCGACCTATGATGCTTCTGAGGTCAACCGATGAAGGCAAAAATTTGTGTATGTCGACCCATTCCCGTTTTAAATTAACTGAGGTCGACCTATGATTCTTCTAAGGTCGACCCATTCTCGTTTTAAACTAACTGAGGTCGACCGCTTTATGGAGTGGTCGACCGCGTATTATTCATTTCGAAAATGTGACTAACGTGTATTCTTGCTTGTTTGATCGCAGGATGTTTGGCGGCAAAAAGAAAAGAAAGGCACAAAAAGCTGCTGCCTCAAGTTCGGAATGGGAAGAGTTCAATCCCAATCTGTTCCAGACCAAGGAGCAAAGTGAGAACTATGAAGAGAAGAGAATGCACAACCGCAGGGTGGCTCCGGGAAGGCCATTGACGACGGATGCGTATTCTCATTACGAGAATTACGGGTTTCTGGGACCCTTCATCGAGCAAGAGTGGCTTAAGGTGATATCTCTCAATGTACCATACTACCCAAAACTGGTACAGTACTTCTACTACAACATCGTCTATGAGCGCAATGCAAATGGATCCATTCACGCATTCAAATCCTATGTGAATGGGGTGGCGATGCGCATCAGCAAGAATGTGTTGGCGCAAGTACTTCAGGCTCCAAACGAGGGGAAGAGAATCAATTCTTACGGTGCTTGGAATGAAACGCATTTCACGAGAGCCAAGCAAATCCAGACGGTATGTGGTCTTGATGAAGAGGAAGATGCTCAGGGGCGCAATAGGCCATCGAGTAACCACCTGACAGTTCAAGCCAGAGTTCTTCACCACATGCTTTCCTACAACATTCCGCCAAAGGGTGGACATCGGGAGACAGTCACCTACTTCGACATGGAGCTCCTCACCAACCTACTGTTAAGCGAGAAGGTGAACTTGCCATACTTAATCTTTAACCACATGCTTACTGCTGCAGAGAGTTCAAACAGGAATCTTCCCTATGGGATGATCCTCATTGTGCTATTTGAGCATTTTAATGTGAATTTAAGTGAAGAGGTGGGGTTAAGAATCTCAAGGCAGGAGTTCTATACTGTTTCATCTCTGAAAAAGATGGGCTTTGAGCTGCGTAATGGTGAGTATGTCAGAGTAAACAATGCTCATGGTGGTGATGATGATGATGATGATGATGATGATGATGATGATGAGGGTGATGAAGGAGCTCGAGACGAGCCAATGGGGGAGGCACAGAGTTCAACTCCACCGATCACCTTACAGTGTGTGTGGGAGCGCATGGATGGCATGTACGAGTACATGGGCCAGATGTCCACCCAGATGTCTGGCATGCACGACTACATGGGGCAAATGACCGCCCAGATGAGCACAATGCAGGTGACCATGAATGAGATGCGAGATGAGTGGCGATCTTTCAGCGGAAGATACATGCATCCCACCACATCCGACCACCATCATGCTAGCACCACCAATGAAGAAAATGTGGATGAGAGAGAGGGGGGAGATGAGTAGGAGAAATGAGTTTTTATATTGTGTGTTTTAGTGGTCAAAACGATTGTTGAGTGTTATTCTATTGTTTTTTTAGTTTTATTTTTATGTGTGAACAATTATGATTTCTGTTTTATTTTTAGTTGTTATGCTATGAATTGATGAGTCCTTGTTATAATTATGACTAATTATGATGGTTTGAAACATAATTTATACGATTAAAAGAACCACACAAATCGACATACATAAGCAAAAAAGACACGGGGCATAGGGTGACTTTCTTGTATTCGATCGACCTCGTAACGGATTAGGTCGACCGCGAAACCAACACTTGATCTTGATTTTACGTCAATTAATTGGACACTTTGATAGAACACTTATCTTCTATCTGGTCGACCTCTTTCATCATCCGGTCGACCATTTTGTTAATGACTGCAATCAAGTGGTCGACCTATATACCTTAGGTGGTCGACCATGTTGTTTCTGACGCCAACGAAATGGCCGACCCAGGTTTTATTCTGGTCGACCAAAAATATCAACTTAAACTAAGTGCGGTCGACCAGGTGGTCGTTGAGGTCGACCGCAATGCTTTCTCGTGCTGCCCAAATTAGTCGATTCGGTCGACCGCCTTCAGCAATAGGTCGACCGAAAAGTGCATGTCACCGTGACATGCATGTCATAGTAGGCATACCCTAAAATTAAAGCTCTTTTTAGTCGTTCAGATTAACTATATGATATTTCCAAAAGTGGCTTGTTTAGAGTACTAACAAGGCAAATGCACCTTTGAGGCAACGTAGGATGGGAGAGGTTAAAGAAGAGGTTTAGGAAGGGGTAGTTATCATAAATGGTAACAAACCTATTCACTTTGTACAAAACGGTAACAATTCTTTAATTTTGTACGTTTCGGTAACATATGTTTGAACTAATAACAAAAAGGTAATTCCGTCTATTTCCATCCAAAAAATCGTTAGTTTTATCCACTAGGATGACACGTCATTAAAAATATTAATTAAAATATCAGCTAATCATCCCACTTATCCTGCACAACCCAACCAATCCATTTACCCATCTCGCTCCGTCCTGCTCCACTGCTCCTTCCTCTCACCTCCTACTTCCTCCTTCTCAGTTGTGTCATCAATTCTGTCTCTCCTCTCTTGTGTCTATGAATTTCTCTTGGGCTAAATTTTGTTGGAAATTGTCGTTTTAGGTCTGTCAATGAGAATGCTAGATTTGAATTTGGGGCGGCGGCCTGGTGGTGAGAGCAGGGAAGGATGTGCTTTGCCTGCCAAGAGGAACAGGTCGAGGAAGTCTCTGGCAAGGACTCATGGGTTCCGGCGACGGATGTAAACGACTAGTGGGAGGGCGATTTTGAAGTGCCGACGGGCAAAGGGGCATTGGGTCGTCTGCACCAAGTCCAATCCGAGCGGCAAAGCTTCCTCAAACCTAATTTTTGTTGAAAGGTAATTTGCAATTACCAATGGTAAAGAAACATCGATTAATGATGCAACCCACAATGTCTCATGCAAGACAAAAATAATGAAGTCAAATAAATGGATGGGGCATGGCTTGGTTGAGAACTCATATCCATGTCAATTCCATCTGTTAGAAAGAAGAAGCCAAAATCATAATAATGCAAGAGACAATGAGATTAATGCATGGGGTAATGAGTAGGCCAATTGAATTAAGTGATGTTTCCATCTACCACAAGTGGTAACGTGCATGGAGAAAGAAATGGAGCCAATAGCATTATTAGTTTCTTTTTTCATTGTAATATAAATGTGTATGTATGGGTTTGCAAGAGATTGTCAGAGAGACATAAAGAAAGAAAGAAGTCTCTGTATCTATGTGTTTGTAAGCAACAAGAGCCAAAAGTTAAGACCTTGTTTGTTTGAGTGATTTATAAAAAGAGTGATTAAACACCAATTGTTTCCTTTGTTTTGATCCTATTTTCCACCACAATTCCGCTAATACCCAACAAATTTGGTATCAGAGCTAATACCCTTCAATCCTCTCAAAAATCCCCAAATTTCTAGCCTACCCAATCCTCTAAAAAATCCATGGCAACAACTTCCTCAAACACCATGTTTGCTACCTCTTCTAATCAAATTCCCATTTTTGATGGAGAATTGTACGAGTACTGGAGTGCCCAAATGGAGCCAATTTTCATCTCTCAAGATCTGTGGGATATAGTCCAAGATGGTTATGAAAGTCCCCAGGAAGATGATGAAGACTCGAAGAAACGATCGGGCAAGCAGACAAAGGAGTACAAGGAGAATGCTAAGCAAAATGCCAGCGCCTTGAGAATCATTCAGCAAGCAGTGAGCAAATCAATTTACCCGAGAATCTATGGCATCAAAAAGGCCAAAGAAGCTTGGGATGTCTTGCATGAACAATTTCAAGGCTCTGAAAAGGCAATCTCTATCAGGCGCCAAAGTTTATGGCAACAGTTCGACAACTTGATGATGAAGGAAACCGACACCATCAAAGACTTCCACTCGCGTGTGGCGGAGACAGTCAACCAGATCAAAGCCACCGGTGATGTCATGGAAGAAAGAAAAATTGTGGAGAGAATTCTCCGCAGTTTATCATCAAAGTTCGAGCATATTGTTGCTGTCATTGAAGAAACCAAAGATCTAGCAAATCTACCAATGAGCGAGTTGATGGGCTCACTTGTAGCACACGAGCAAAGAATGAGCCGCTTCACCAAACCGCCATTGGAGCAAGCTTTCTCGTCAAAAGTCAACATGGCGGAAAGTAAATATGCCAAATCGGAGCAAGGCCAGAGAGGGGGAAACTCACAAGGGAGAGGAAGAGGAAGATCCAATTACAGAGGAAACAACAGACAAAATTATCAACAACAAAGATTGGGCTACACCGGCTCGAGTTGCATAATTTGCAAAAAGGCGGGTCATGCAACAAAAGACTGCAAATTCAACTGCACCAAGTGCAGAATTCAGAACCACTCCCAGAGAGATTGCTGGTTCCAGAACAAGCAAGAAGATGGCGAGTCAAGCGGCATCAAAAATGAAGAAAGCAATATGGTGGCCTTGTCATGCTTGTATGGTGAGCAAAAATCACAGCTTCCCTGGATGGTGGATAGTGGTTGTAGTAACCACATGACTGGAGATCTAGAGTCCTTCACCGACATCGATGACAAATACCGCTCTCAAGTCAAATTGGGAGACGGGAAGAAGCTAAAAGTGGAAGGAAAAGGCGCAGTTGTTGTATGCACAGAAGAAGGCAACAAAACTCTCATCCGAGATGTTTTTTATGTTCCGGAGCTAACTCTCAATCTACTTAGCGTGGGACAACTGATGCTGAAAAATTACAAGCTATTGTTTGATAATGGCGTGTGCGAGATTATCAACAAAGCAGACAATTTCATGGTGGCCAAAGTCCCGAATGACTTCCAACAGATGTCACAAAATGGTGAAGTAGCATTCAAGAGTGAAAATCTGGATCAATCCTTTCTATGGCATCTCAGATACGGTCATCTCAACTTCAGAGGCCTCAAATTGCTGAGGCAGAAAAATATGGTGGCAGGACTTCCCCAGATCAACAGAGAAGATAAAATATGTGAAGGATGCATATATGGCAAAATGCATCGTTTACCATTTCCAAAGACATCTTGGAGACCAAAAGCGCCACTGGAGTTGGTACATGCAGACATATGCGGTCCAACCCGAACACAATCACTCAGCGGCAAAAGATACTTTCTACTATTTGTAGATGACTTCACCAGAATGATGTGGGTATTCTTTCTGGAGCAAAAGTCAGAAGCTTTTCCCAAGTTCCTTCAATTCCAAGCAGTAGCTGAGAAGGAAAGCGGCCATCAAATCAAAACTCTCCGTACAGATCGTGGAGGAGAATTTATTTATACTCTGTTCATGGAGTATTGCCGCAACAACGGGATAAAAAGGCAGCTGACGGTCCGTTACACACCACAACAAAATGGCGTGGCAGAACGGAAAAATCGCACGATCGTGGAGATGGCGAGAAGTATGCTCAAAGCAAAAAAGCTTCCCAACAACTTGTGGGCAGAAGGTGTCAATACAAAAATTTACATCCTCAACAGATCACCAACCAAAGCAGTTCGGAACAAGACACCGATACATGCGTGGCACCACAGGAGGCCACAGGTGGATCGCCTCAAAGTCTTTGGGTGCATAGCTTATGCACACATCTCTACTCCAAACCGAGACAAGTTTGACCAGAAGGGAGAAAAGCTGATCTTCACCAGCTACAGTGATGAGTCCAAAGGCTATCGTCTTTACAACCCAGTAAAGAATGAAGTGGTGGTTTCCCGAGATGTGATCTTTGATGAGATGGCGGAGTGGAATTGGGAAAATCCAATTTTTCAATCTCCACCAAGTTATGAAATTCTGGAGGACTCAGCAACTCCAAAAGACCCCAGCAGCGACTCAGATCCAGTTGCTAGTCCAGAAAGAAATTTTGCACCTAGCCCAGAAGGAGACAACTTCAGAGACGTCGTAACAAACTCAGATTCACCTCCATTGAGAACAAGGTCTTTGCGAGAAATTTATGAAACAAGTCATGTGGCATATTTTTCTTGTGAGCCTCAAGTCTTTGAAGAAGCAGCCAAAGATGAAGTTTGGAATGAGGCGATGGATGCAGAGATTTCCATGATCGAGAAAAACAAGACATGGGAGCTTGTTGATCAACCGGAGGACAAGCCGGTTATAGGTCTCAAATGGATCTATAAGATCAAATTCAATGAAGATGGTTCTATCCAGAAGTACAAAGCTCGACTGGTGGCAAAGGGCTATTCACAACAGCCCGGTATTGATTTTCACGAGACATATGCACCAGTAGCGAGGATGGAGACCATCAGAACAGTTCTCGCTCTAGCTGCTCAACTGGAGTTACCAGTATACCAGCTGGATGTCAAATCAGCATTTCTGAACGGAGAACTGGAAGAAGAAGTATATGTGGAGCAACCACGAGGATATGAGAAAAAAGGAGAAGAAGACAAAGTCTATCGTCTCCGAAAGGCTTTATACGGGCTGAAGCAAGCACCGAGAGCCTGGAACAGCAGAATCGATCGATATTTTCAGCAAAACGGATTTCAAAGAAGTCCGAGTGAAGCATCTCTCTACATCAAAAAGGGAGAAGGAAAAGATTTTCTAATGGTTTGTTTATATGTTGATGATTTGATTTACACAGGTACAAGTCAGCATATGATCGAAGAATTCAAAAGTGCCATGATGAAAGAATTCGAGATGACGGACTTGGGACTCATGAAGTATTTTCTTGGGATACAAGTGAAGCAGTCACCTGGAGAAATATTTATTTCACAGGAGAAGTACACCGAAGATATGCTGAAAAGATTTCACATGGCAACGTGCAAACCAATCTCAACACCGATGGCGTTAAACGAGAAATTACAACGCAATGATGGAGCTGAAAAAGTCGATGGAAAGCTGTACAGAAGTCTTGTCGGGTCACTCATTTACCTGACACATACCAGGCCGGATATATGTCATTCAGTAAGTCTTATATCAAGATTTATGAATGAACCTAGCAAACTTCATTTTGCAGCAGCCAAAAGAATTTTGCAGTATCTTCAAGGTACTAAAAAATTGGGCCTGACGTACAAGAAAGAAGCAGAAAGCAAGCTGACTGGATATACCGATAGTGACTGGGCAGGATCATTGGATGATCGAAAAAGCACATCGGGGTACATATTCTGCCTGGGTTCAAAACCCATTTCCTGGAGTTCAAAGAAGCAAAAGACTGTGGCATTATCTTCAGCGGAAGCAGAATATATTGCAGCTACAGATGCAGCATGCGAAGCGGTATGGCTAAAAAGATTAATTTTTGATTTGCAGCAAAATGAAAATGGTCCAACCATTATTCATTGTGACAACATGTCAGCCATAGCCATGACAAAAAATCCAGTATTTCACGCAAGATCGAAGCATATCGAGTTGCGTCATCATTTCATCCGAGACCTCGTCAACGAAGGATTAATCATGATGGAATTTATCAACACCAACGACCAGCCAGCAGATATTATGAAAAAAGCGGTTACCCGTGAGAAATTCGAGAAGTTCAAGGAGCTACTCCAAATTGCAAATTAAGAGGGGGTGTTGAAAGGTAATTTGCAATTACCTATGGTAAAGAAACACAATTAATGATGCAACCCACAATGTCTCATGCAAGACAAAAATAATGAAGTCAAATAAATGGATGGGGCATGGCTTGGTTGAGAACTCATATCCATGTCAATTCCATCTGTTAGAAAGAAGAAGCCAAAATCATAATAATGCAAGAGACAATGAGATTAATGCATGGGGTAATGAGTAGGCCAATTGAATTAAGTGATGTTTCCATCTACCACAAGTGGTAACGTGCATGGAGAAAGAAATGGAGCCAATAGCATTATTAGTTTCTTCTTTCATTGTCATATAAATGTGTATGTATGGGTTTGCAAGAGATTGCCAGAGAGACATAAAGAAAGAAAGAAGTCTCTGTATCTATGTGTTTGTAAGCAACAAGAGCCAAAAGTTAAGGCCTTGTTTGTTTGAGTGATTTATAAAAAGAGTGATTAAACACCAATTGTTTCCTTTGTTTTGATCCTATTTTCCACCACAATTCCGCTAATACCCAACAATTTTCCCCCACCAAAATCAGTTAATTCAGTAAGAGAAGGGCCGATCGGACGAGAATCGAAAGCTTTGGCAGAGGTTGGCGGACGATTTGGTGGGATTGATCGCCGACAACGAGGAGGCTAAAGTTCCTCTTGTTCCTCCTCTTCATGCACCTATGAATCTTCTCCTTCCTCTGCTCAACTGATAGCATCCCTAGTCCCTACTCAAATCCTCCAAACTCGCCAACTCTGTCGCCAATTGCGTAGAGCTTGGTGCTCCACCCACCAATCGTTATGTCTCATTGCTGAATGCTGGAAACCACACATCCAAAATGGGTTAGAAAGAGATATACTGATATAGTAGTAATTGATTTGACGAAGAAGAAGGATTGCTCTGTTTTTTTTTACTTTAACAACGCGCTGAAGAGAGTCCGATGGGCACTGCGCAGTAGATTCCACCATTGCTCCCTTGGTAATCGTTCTTTGGACCGGTTGAGATTTGGGTATAAAATTAGGGTTTTCGGTTGGGTTATCAGTTCGATTGGTTTGCTTACTATTTTTTTAATTAATATATTAAATGATGTGGCGTGCTGACTGGATGAAACTAACGGTTTTTTGGATGGAGATGGACGGAATTACCTTTTTGTTATTAGTTCAAACATAAGTTACCGAAACGTGCAAAATTAAAGGATTGTTACCGTTTTGTACAAAGTGAATAGGTTTGTTACCATTTATGATAACTACCCGTTTAGGAAGTGACTTGGACAGTTGGACTTGTAGGTTTTGGGTTTTAAGTTCTTTATTGTTTGGACCTCTAATCTATAAATCCACTTAGAAAGGATAAGCAGGTCTGTGTATAATGTGGGCCTCTTTAATATGATCCAACTATTAAAGCCCAAAAACAAATAAAGAAGAAAAATAATGACCTTCAGTTCTCATCGCTTCCCCAATCAGATTTTGATTTTCTGAAAGCCACTTCTCAATTCTCCCCTGACCTCTACAGTCTACAGTCGCCATCCTCGTCGAAACTGAAGTCCCCGCTCCCTAAAATGAAACCCTCATCCCGTGAAGTTTGCAACTTCGCGTTCGTTAATCCGATCAATTGTCGATAGCTTCTACACCACGGGGGAACCGATCGGTTTGTGACTCTGTTGGCGCGGAATACGGCGGCAAGCCTCCGTCAACGGTGATCGAATTATGGTGTATTCATGTTTCTTGTATCTGGTCTTTCTCATTTGTTTCTGATCCCTTTTCAATTTCCTATTTTATGGTAGAACTGAATTGATCAGATAGAAAAGCGATGAGCATCCACTGCACTTGCTGCGAGTTGGGGAAAATGGGAAATGGGCGCAGTGGGGAAGAAGATACTACCACTGACAGGTTAAGCAATCTTCCGGAACCCATTCTTCATCACATCCTTTCGTTCCTCGACACCAAATCCGCGGTTCAGACCTCGGTGTTGTCTCGGGCATGGAACCGCGTGTGGAAACACGTCCCTGTCCTCGATCTGCGCCGACTGTCCTTCCTGGAGTATGAGAGTTTCCAATGGTTTGTGTCTATGGTTTTGGACCTCCGCTATCCACTTAGCCTCCGCAAGCTGAGCTACCTGGACAACTGTGAGAGGTGTAAGTTTAACATTGACGAGGAAAGCGACTCATTTATCTCGGAGTTTCGAGATGTTGGTATGTGCATAGACGTCATCCAATATGCTTTATACTATGATGCTCAACATTTACTGATTGACCTGGACAATGAGTTTAAGGATTTCCATCGGAGTGACAAATTTAAGGACTTGTTCGGCACGATCTCGAATTGCAACCTCAAAACTCTAGAACTGAAATATGTATGCATCAATGACGGTCTTGGATCTTGTGGTTTTCGGGTGCTGACAACTTTAGATTTGCAACTTTGCTCTCTGGCTTCTGATCAATATGAGGACTTTTTTTCAAACTTCCCCTCGCTGGAGCATTTGATCCTGATTGTTTGCCAACCTTGGGACTACTCCAACTCTATCGAGGATGATAGGGGTCTTAGGATATCTGGAGCCCGATTGCTTAGCCTGAAATTGAACTTCATGGTGTGTTACAAGATGGAAATTTTTGCACCAAGACTCAGATTCTTCAGTCTTCTACATGACTTGGAATCCCTGGTATTCATGAAGTTAAGCATTCCTACCCTTTATCATGCTGCTATCGCCGTCGAGGATTGGGCCAATTTCACCAAGGACAACAAGGAATGCGGGGCACAACGTTTCATCTCCTTGTTCCAGGGTTTGAATAATGTAACTTATCTCAGCCTGGATAGCGTCACCCTCAAGGTTATCTTTGCCTAGATAATGCGCTGCTTCTATTCTACTACAGGTGTTTCTTCTTGGAAATATTGCCTTGCATTTGAACTTGGCTTCTGTTCTGTGTAGGCACTGAGTAAAATTTCCGACTTTCTGGAACGACAACAATCCTCTCCCTTTACGAAGTTGAAATCCTTGATCTTGAAGACTATTGGTGGACGAAAGAGAGTATCTGATGAACTGGTAAATTACTTTATTAAAGGGTCGTCTAGTATGAACCCCAGCGTTGAGTGTATCTGGCCCTGTCGCGAACCATTCTGCCATGGTTGCTGATTGTGGTACGCAAATAGGTTGGAGTTTCTTTATTTTCAGATCATTTTCCAGTAGGCACTAGTTCATGAATTTTTCAAGTAGTTCGCAAGAGCTACTCAACTTGTTTTGATTGAAATGTATACCATTTTGTCTGATTGGCGACATTGTAAGCTCTGTTCTTCTCTGCTTGAGTGGGACTTATGAAGACAGTGCTTCAGCTCTTATTATTCTTTTGTTTGTCATCTTCTTCACGCTTTTCCCCTCGACTCGAGGGAAATATCTCTGAATAAGTTCTCTGGCATGTTTTTCATATTTTCAAACCCTTAGAATCCCTGGCCTTAAAATTAATTTAAAAAAGTCAAAAGCTTTATATTGTTGGCAGCGGATTAGGGGTGAAAATAGGTACGGTATCTTATTGTCAAATATCAAAATCCCGAATACCGAATTATACTATAAAATCAATCCCAATTTCTACATAATTTAGGTCTCCTAATCCCAACCCTCAAATATTTTGGTATCCCGATTGGTATTACCAAATACGAAATTAATTACCTTTGCAATTAATAAATACGTCAATTAGATTTGATTGTTTAATTTAAGGTAAAGAGACTAAACAAAGAATCTTGAGTTTGTCTAGAGTTATTGTATGGATAAAGGGAATCGAAAAGAGGTGACTTCTCAAATTCTTGTCATTGAAGGCTGAGAGACGACTAATACTAGTGTTTGCTTTTAGCTAGTTATGAAAATAAAAAGAGATTAGGTGAGAGACAAGAGTGACTTAAACTGAAAAGTCAAATTGAGTTGGATGGGGTTCCTAAGTTGTGAAAGAGTGAGAAATGACCAAAGGTTGTGTGCTATATTTCATTACTTTTTAATTTTTGGTATTTTGGTATATAGCGATCCCAATCCCGTAATTCCAAATAGCACTCCAAAATGAATTCCAATCCCAACCGCTAAAAAATAAACCGGTATTCGGTAATACCAAATAGTGATAAATTCAGGGAAGGTATTTGGTAATGCCAAATCCCGATACCAAACTTCCAGCCCTAGTCATGATACATGAAAAGATTGATGTAACTAGCAGCATTCTACAAAGTGTAACCACTTGAGAAGACTTCTGAGTAGGGATGGCAATCAAACCCATAATCGCGGGTATCCACCCGCCCACGATCTAGTCAACGCGGGGAATTCCTGCTTTGACCGGGTATGAGGCGGGTATGGGTAAAACCCGCAAAAAGTTTGATGGGTATGGGGTGGGTATGGTTTTAACCTCCCCCGCCCCATACCCATACCCGCCCCATTAGGATAACTTCTTCACATATAAAAAATATATTGATTAAACCTATCTATAATAGTGAGGCTAACTCCTGATAACATAGCAGAAATGTAATCGGGTGGCTATCTAAATCAAAACTTAATTCTTTTTCCTCAATCCTCCCATCACTCTTTCGTTGTTTCTATTGTTAATGGTAGTTAGTTATTACTTAGTATATGTATTAGAGTAAGAGAATAATTATTTGGATTACATTGCATTCTATCTTATGGATTAACAGATTTTTTAGGATAAGATGCTTTGAACCGTGTTAAGAATGATTATCTCTTTGTCTACTTCATGATGTAATAGGTGCGTTTAATGTTATAATTGAAAATATTTATATAAAATTTTAGGTGTTATCATGTTTGATGTACGGGGAGGGTATTATCCATGGGTACCCAAAACCCACGGGTACCGCATGGGTATGGGGCGGGTATGGGTTTGGATATTTGAAAGCGGGGATGGAGATGATTTAGACAAACCCGCCCCAAACCCGCCCCATTGCCATCTCTACTTCTGAGTTTATCTTTGAAGAGGTTCCTTTCCCAGTGAGTGACGAGGAAGAACATATGAAGCCCGAAGATGCAGGACTTTATGATTTGGGCCCTTAGCCTATAAATCCGGGCATATTTTTGA